TAAAGTTTTCAGCTCTGGGAAGATATCCAGTTTCAGAAACAAAACATGGAGTTTTTGTTTAAGCCAAGATTCTCACAATTAGAAAATTAGAATTGTATTTATATTTTTACTCAAAGTTGGTAGTTTAAGGGGATGTCAGAGACGTAATTTCAAGTTCATTGAAGGATTTACATGTACCCTTTAAACCCATTGAATTTATAATTTCAGTTAGAAAAATAAGGATAATCAGCGAGCTGTTAAGAGTGCCGTGAATCAGGCAGTTCATTCTTTAACAGAGAGTAACTTGACAGTACGTTTACAGACCCTTTAACGCTGCCAAGTGCACAATGCATATTAAAGAGAAAATCTAAAGTTCTAATTTATTAATAATCCTATTTAATCTACCCTCTAGTTTGATCTTAGCTTCAAACGAGGATTTAAAGTCTCAATTTGACTTGAGTTTCAAGTATTGCAGCTTGCACCATTTTCTGGGAATTTGCAAGAATTGAACCCTGTTTTAATTGCAGAATTCTAGGCTTCTAGCTTCATTGCAAAATATCCAGCAAAATACAATATGGACAAAATAGAAACTTTTAGCTTACACAGAAAATATTAGGTACAGAGAACAGATGAGAGGATGTAAAGAAAACAGATGAGAAGATGTACAGAAAACAGATGTTGAGAATGTACAGAAACAGATGTGAGAATGTACAGAGAACAGATGAGAGGATATACAGGAAACAGATGAGAAGATGTACAGAAAACAGATGAGAGGATATACAGAAAACAGATGAGAAGATGTACAGAAAACAGATGAGAAGATGTAAAGAAAACAGATGAGAGAATGTACAGAAAACAGATGACAGAATTTACAGAAAACAGATGAGAGGATGTACAGAAAACAGATGAGAGTATTTAAAGAAACAGATGAGAAGATGTACAGAAAACAGATGAGAAGATGTACAGAAAACAGATGAGAATATGTACAGTAAACAGATGAGAGGATGTACAGAAAACAGATGAGAAGATGTACAGAAAACAGCTGAGAAGATGTACAATAAACAGATGAGAAAATGTACAGAAAACAGATAAGAAGATGTACAAAAAACAGATGAGAGGATGTACAGAAAACAGATGAGAAGATGTACAGGAAACAGATGACAGGATGTACAGAAAACAGATGAGAGGTTGTACAGAAAACAGATGAGAGGATGTACAGAAAACAGATGAGAGGATGTACAGAAAACAGATGAGAGGATGTACAGAAAACAGATGAGAGGATGTACATAAAACGGATGAGAAGATGTACAGAAAACAGATGAGAAGATGTACAGAAAACAAATGACAGGATGTACAAAAAACAGATGAGAGGATGTACAGAAAACAGATTAGAGGATGTACAGAAAACAGATGAGAGGATGTACAGAAAACAGATGAGAGGATGTACAGTAAACAGATGAGAGGATGTACAGAAAACAGATAAGCGGATGTACAGAAAACAGATGAGAGGATGTACAGTAAACAGAAAAAGATGTTTCAATTCCCTCAATTAGCTCCCTAGTCTCTTTACTTTAGAAATCAGCAAAACACTTGATAAGCGCTATTGTAAATTATTAATTTTCAAATGAGGAAATTTGTTGCCAGTCTTCAAACTACGTGGATAGCCCCGATTATACTAACACAGAAAACACCAGAAATAATGCAAATATAAGATGTTTTCTCTAGCCCCAGCATTTATCTTCATATATATGTATACTATGTATTAGCAGTTATATTTTTTCATATACTGGTATTAGTGTATAACCTTTATTATTATTAATGATTATACAAACAAATATGTATATTTATTTACATGTACAGAAAATACATAAGATAATATACTGTACAGAGTGTCCCAATTTCTATGATGATTTAGACTCCAAGATCGTCATTTTGATGGAGTATTACTATTACTAACAGATCTGATTTCAAGGATTTTTGCGTAGAGCTTACAACACCGACACCTTAAACTAAGCTTGCGGTTCGTGCTGCAATGATCTGCAGTACATTGGCCAAAGAACCAGTGGGTTTTAGGAAAGATTGTTCGGACTGAACCTCCAGATAAGAAATATTATTTTATTACAGGTCATTCTGTGTGGGTCACCCTGTATATATTTATATACGTTTTAGTAAACAATTAAATATTTATATTGGTAGACCATGGCACTTAATATATCACTGCTAGACAATATTTAAAATGACAAATTTTCAGGAAGTTGCCAGCAAGAATAAATAGATAAATAGATAAACAGATAAATAGATAAATAAATAAATAACAGACAGTTAAATAGAAATTAGGATAATTAAATTAAATGTGTATTAGATTTTAGATAATAGATTACTGAATAAAGAAATAGTTCAATGATAAATATGTAGACCAGTGGTCAAATAGAGAAAATGATGAAAAAATAGATAAAAAAGATGACAAAGATAACATTTATGGCATTTTATCTAATAACACATTGTTTCATACTGGATGCAATCTCTAATATGATGTTTTCCAGATTTCTTAGAAATAAAGGAATAAAAAGACAAATAGTTAAATAACTATAGATGAAATTGTAGATCAAAGTAAACTAATTGCGTCTTTGCCACAAAATTTCTAATCCCTATATCTTTGCAACCCAATGTCGTATACCTTAGATATTACAAACTCTGATTTCTGTTGAATAAAATAAAAGTTTAAATTATCAAAGGATTACGACATTAGGTTGCACAGATATAGGGATGAGAACATTTGATTTTGTAACTCCTTTCAGGTCAGGTTGAAATACTTGCGTTAAATCAAAACTAGAAGAGCTCCAAGGTCACAAATGCGTACCAGTAATGTTTCATAAATTTGATCTTCACCCAATGGAGTGTGAAAGGGTGTACATAGATAAAAATAATCTAAAACACTCTCGTTGAATCAAATCCTCCTGATTTTTCTCTGATTTTCCTGGCAGCGTTATAAATTATAATAATAATTATTTTCTTTTTTTGTGAGACATATTTCTAGCAGAATAATAAAAGAATTGTTTTGCTTGTAGAGATATTGGATGAATTATTATTATATCGGATACTACTACTTTTAGATCTTCTGTATTATTGTATTTATAGCCAAATATGAGAACGGCAATTTTATTTAGTTACAAACGAAAAATTAAAAACGTTCATTTTTTTGTTTTAAAAGAGAATTTTTAAATCTACATTTTATTTTATTTTTATGCTTTCATAGAAAATAGAAAAAATAAAAGTTTCAAACTTCAACTTTTGAATATTAAAGATTAATGCGAAACGCGAAATACTTTCATTGATGTATTTTAATAAGTTTGATCAACTTATGTAAATAAACCCCCAACCTACCCTCCCCTTCCCCACCTCTTCCCAAATTCGCTTCTTTTTCAAAAGTAGAAAAGTTCTGCTATTTGTTGTATTTTTCACTTTGCCAAAAAAAGAAATATGTTTTTCAAATAGATTTTTTTCTTTTTCAAAATGTGAAAAAGCATAAATGCCATTTTTTTAATATATAATTTTTATTTTATTGTATTCAAATTTACCTCTGTAGATTATCAATGTATTTTTACTCCGGTCATTTTCATTAACCAATCAGAAGGGAACAGTAATAATTCCAGCCAATAAGGAGAAATCATGCAGTGTTAGTCATTTATCACAGAGCGTTCGATAAGGTGAACAATCTCAAAAAGTGTCGAACTAAAGGGGGGGGAGTATCGGTAAATGAAGGGGGGGGGGTTAACCTGACACATATACACTAAACACATAAAAAGATAAATATTGTAAAGTATCATATCATAAACATAAAATGAATAACATTAACATGTGGCCCTATACTACCAAGTGTGCAAAATGTATTTGATCTAAATATGGTGAGAACAATTAATGCTGTACTGGTGGACTAGAAATACAGAGTTTACCTTTGCGTGTAACATTTCATTGGTGTAACATTTCATTGGTGTAACATTTCATTGGTGTAACATTTCATTGGTGTAACATTTCATTGGTGTAACATTTCATTAGTGTAACAATACATTGGTGTAACATTTCATTGGTGTAACATTTAATTGGTGTAACATTTCATAGGTGTAACATTTCATTAGTGTAACAATACATTGGTGTAACATTTCACTGGTGTAACATTTCATTGGTGAAACATTTCATAAGTGTAACATTTCATTGGTGAAACATTTCATAAGTGTAACATTTCATCGGTGTAACATTTTATAGGTGTAACATTTCATTAGTGTAACATTTTATTGGTGTAACATTTTATTGGTGTAACATTTTATTGGTGTAACATTTCATTGGTTTAACATTTCATTGGTGTAACATTTTATTGGTGTAACTTTCATTGGTGTAACATTTTATTGGTGTAACATTTCATTGGTGAAACATTTCAGTGGTGTGACATTTCATTTGTGTAACATTTCGTTGGTGTAACAATGTATTGGTGTAACATTTCATTGCATGGTATAACATTTCTTTGGTGTAACTTTCATTGGGTAACATTTAATGGATAGAGGGTATCTTTATTTCATTGATATAAAAGATGTCTTTTATATAGTATCATCTAACAAAGTTTTATTAAGTTATGATAATCTTAATGAGTAAGCAAACCAAAGGGATTCATACTATATCAACACTTAAAACAATCAAAAAGTTATCCCTAAAGTTAATATTTCAATGATTATAGCAATCACAAAATTATAGCAATCACAAAGCTATCTCTATAGTTAACATCTCAATAATTATAGCAATCACAAAGCTATCTCTAAAGTTAATATATCAATAATTATAATAATCACAAAGCTATCTCTATAGTTAACATCTTAATAATTATAACTATCGCAAAGCTATCTCTAAAGTTAACATCTCAATAATTATAACAATCACAAAGCTATCTCTATAGTTAACATCTCAATAATTAAAATATTAATGATAAATTAAATAATTTAATGAATGGCAAATATAAAATTAATTCCTACCTGATAGATGGCTGGTGGGATCCAAAGAACCTCTCCATCAGGGTAGATCAGTACATTACTCTTGTACCGTACCTCATAGTTTCCATCAGCACTACAGTACAGTACAGTACAGTACAGTACAGTACAGTACAGTACAGTACAGTACAGTACAGTACAGTACAGTACAGTACAGTACAGTACAATTACAATCAGATAAAAAAGCAAAGTCAATTACAGGTAATTCTAGAATCTGTACAGCACAGTCACATCAGGTATTAAAAACTCAGAGTAGTACAGTTAAAAGCATCTATTCAAGTGCAGAGCAGTACAGTTAAAAGCATCTATACAAGTTCAGAGCAGTACAGTTAAAAGCATCTATACAAGTGTAGAGCAGTACAGTTACAAGCATCTATACAGTGCAGAGCAGTACAGTTACAAGCATCTACACAAGTGCAGAGCAGTACAGTTACAAGCATCTATACAAGTGCAGAGCAGTACAGTTACAAGTATCTATACAAGTGCAGAGCAGTACAGTTACAAGTATCTACACAAGTGCAGAGCAGTACAGTTACAAGTATCTATACTAGTGCAGAGTAGTACAGTTACAAGCAGCTATACAAGTGCAGAGCAGTACAGTTACAAGCATCTATACAAGCGCAGAGCAGTACAGTTACAAGTATCTATACAAAAGCAGAGCAGTACAGTTAAAAGCATCAATACAAGTGCAGAGCAGTACAGTTACAAGCATCTATACAATTGCAGAGCAGTAGAGTTACAAGCCGCTTTACGAGAGCAGTATGATTACAAAGAGATGTTTAAGTGCAGTACAGTCACAAAAAAGTACAAATACCGTACAGTACAGTTTAAAACAGATTGTAAAAAGGCAGTATATTACAGTTACAACGAGTTGTACCAGCGAGCAGCGGCACAGTAAAGCAAACTTGCAAGCAGATTAGTTTCAAGAAGTTGTACAAGTGTACAACAAGTTATACAAGCGTAAAATAAGTTGTATTAGCGAATAAGAAGTTCTACAAGCGTACAAGAAGTTATACAAGCGTGCAAGAAGTTTTACAAGCGTACAAGAAGTTGCACAAGCGTACAAGAAGTTGTACAAGAAGTTGCACAAGCGTAAAAGAAGTTGTACAAGCATACAAGAAGTTGTACAAGCTTACATGAAGTTGCACAAGTGTACAAAAAGTTGTACAAGCGTACAAGAAGTTGTACAAGCTTACAAGAAGTTATACAAGCGTACAAGAAGTTTTACAAGCGTACAAGAAGTTGTGCAAGCGTACAAGATTTTTTACAAGCGTACAAGAAGTTGCTCAAGCGTACAAGAAGTTGCTCAAGCGGACAAGAAGTTTTACAAACGTTCGAGAAGTTGTACAAGAAGTTGCAAAAACGTACACGAAGCTGCTCAAGCGTAGAAGAAGTTGTTCAAGCGTACAAAAATTTTTATCAGCGTACAAGAAGTTGTACAGGAGTACATTATAGTTTTTAAGAGAGTTATATTGAACAAACTCTTTTTAGGTATATATATATAATATACATATATTGATTGGATGAATTTTAGTAGCTTTCCATCGAATAAAGATTAAATTAATCTGCAGATTATCAAAAGAGGAGATCAAGCATTGATTTCGAGATATCCACAATACAAGAGTTTCTAGCTCAGGTTTCATAACAATACCCTGTCTTAAGTTACGGGCTCTGTATATATTTATGAATACTATATGTATACAGAATTGTAAGTAAAGATATGAATTCAACTGTGCGGAAAATCAAATATCTTCCTGTCCATTTATAAAATTGAACAGGGAAAGAAACCGGGTAAAGAAAAAAGTCTAAGATACAAATATAAAATCGATTAAGCACAAGGATGTTTGATAGTATTAAAGTAGAAGAAAAGTTTTGTTATTTACTGTGAAAATTGATTTTTTTCAGTACTGCCTTCTCTAAAAAAGTGAATTCGAATTATTGTTAAGAAATTGTTAGAAATAGGTTATATGACAAGGATAGTTAACAGAAACAGGATAGTTGATAAACATAGGATATAGGACAAGGATAGTTGATAAACATAGGGATAGTTAACAGAAACAGGAGAGTTGATAAACATAGGCTATAGAGGACAAGGATAGTTTACAAAAACTGGATAGTTGATAAACATAGGATATAGGACAAGGATAGTTGATAAACATAGGCTATAGAGGACAAGGATAGTTTACAAAAACTGGATAGTTCATAAACATAGGCTATAGGACAAGGATAGTTGATAAACATAGGATATATGACAAGGATAGTTGATAATCATAAGCTATAGGACAAGGAAAGTTAATAAACAAAAGCTATATGAAAAGGATAGGTAAAAACATAGGCTTTAGGACAAGTAAAGTTAATACGCTATAGGACAAGGATAGTTAATAAACATACGCTATAGGACACGGATAGGTAATAAACTTAGGCTATAGAGGACAAGGATAGTTGATAAACATAAGCTATATGACAAGGATAGGTAATAAACATAGGTTATAGAGGACATGGAGAGTTGACAAACATAAGCTATATGACAAGGATAGTTAATAAACATAAGCTATATGACAAGGATAGTTAATACACATAGGTTATAGGGGACATGGAGAGTTGATAAACATAAGCTATATGACAAGGATAGTTAATAAACATAAGCTATATGACAAGGATAGTTAAAAGAAACAGGATAGTTGATAAACATAGGCTATATGACAAGGATAGTTAACAGAAACAGGATAGTTGATAAACAAAGGCATGACAAGGATAGTTAGCAGAAACAGGATAGTTGATAAACATAGGCTATAGAGGACAAGGATAGTTGATAAACATAGGCTATAGAGGACAAGGATAGGTAATAAATATAAGCTATATGACAAGGATAGTTAATAAACATAGGCTATAGAGGACAAGGATAGGTAATAAAAATAGGCTATAGGACAAGGTTAGTTAACAGAAACAGAATAGTTGATAAACATAGGCTATAGGACAAGGATAGTTAACAGAAACAGGAAGTTGATAAACATAGTCTATATGACAAGGATAGTTAACAGAAACAGGATAGTTGATAAACATAGGCTATATGACAAGGATGGTTGATAAACATAGGCTATGGAGTACAGGGATAGTTATTAAACATAGGCTATAGGACAAGTATAAATAATAAATATTTGCTATAGGACAAGGATATTTAATAAACATACGCTATAGGACAAGGGTAGTCGATGAATATGAGATCTTACTTGTTAAATAGAACAATATCCGGTTTCCAGACTTTGTCTGGCGGAAGACGGAGCACACTTATTCCGCCGTAGTCCGCCTCATCCCATTGTAACTGGTAGTCGTTCCAAACCTAGTAGTCTTTTTATAGTAGTCGTTCCAAAATAGGTAGTCTTTTTAAAGTATTCGTTTAATACCCTGAAGTCATTCGATATTAGTCATTCTAGACCTGGTAGTCATTTCATGCATTTATGATTTCATACTTGGAATCCATTTTATTTTAGTCATTTCAGACCTAGTAGTTACTTTATTTTATTCATACCAGACCTGGTAGTCATTATATTTAAAACATGCCAGACATAGTATTCATTATATTTAAATCATTCCAGACCTGGTAGTCTTTTATTATTTTCATACCAGACCTGGCAGTCATTTATTTTAATCATTTCAGACCTAGTAGTCATTTTATTTACGTCATTCTAGACCTGGTATAGTCTTTTATTTTAATCATTCTAGACCTGGTAGTTTCATTTTAATCATTCCAGACTTCGTAGGTTTTATGATTCTACGTTCGGTAGTCATATTAAATAAGTCTTTTAAGAAGTCATTCCTTTCCAAGCACATAGTCTATTCCTAGCCAAGCACATAATCTGGTAGTCTATTCCTAGCCAAGCACATAATCTGGTAGTCTATTTCTGTAAACATTATTGTTAACCTTTTTCAATTCGGACAAAAAATGCTTTTCTTTTAAGATAAATTTGAAATCCAGTATTTCTGAGAAAAGAAGAGAGGTCTACATTTTACAATGTTTTTTACGATTTAATATTGAAAACTGGTTTACCCCGGAATATTTATTATCAAATCAGATTCAATATTAAACCCAACGATGGGGTCTGGGTGATATTGCTAGGCTTATAGAAACCTGAATCAATTCTTGAAAACATTTCAAAACTTAAGAGGGTTGAAAAATACTGAAATTGAAATAATATGTTGCCCCGCGGTGTTCCTATAAATCCAGCATACACTTGATAGAAAATGACCAAAATCTATTTTATTTATACATAAACAGAGTCACAAAAAAATCTTCTTTAAAAAACCAATTTTGATTTAATTAGATATGTTCATAAATGTTGGTGCGAAGAGCACTGAATTCATTTTTTATGTAAAAAGTATATTTACCAGTCTGAGCCAGACGTTCGACTTCATAATCTGATTCTTTTCATTCTAAACAAATATATCATTATTACTTTGATTATATATATATGTATAAAGTATAAAGTAGTAATCTTTGCTTGCATCTTTGTCAGTTTGTATATCCGATCATAACTAATGAACCACAAAGCCGAATTAGCTCAAATTTCATCTAGGGAGCCCAAATTTACACTTTTGTAACAAATCTTTAAAATGATTTACCCCCCCGGGTAATACTTTTGTAAAAAGACTTTTCAACCTATTTGACAAAGGTTTTGCGCTGAAAAAGACACCATAATAAACACAATGTATTGGATACTTTAAATATATTTATCTAAATTTGGTCTGTTGGTTAGCATCCAACCAATTAACGTCAATACTAAATACGACTGAACCAATCGGGCCCAATTCGTATTTCAGAATTAAATGGCCACAAAATTACCAATTTTTTTCTTCCGAGAAACTATTTTTTTTTGCAAAACTTTTGCTTATTAGATCAGTTTTAATCATTGCAAATAAAAATCCAGCAAAATGCACAACCTTGGTAACACCACTAATAAAATTGCAAGATTAACTTTACCAAAAATTGGCAATTTTCTTCGCTGCCAAAACATTTCTATGAAGAGGAAAATTGATTTGGAAAGTAAGAAAAATTGAAAAAGCGGATGCATTTTCTGGCAGAGATAGCTTTGAGAAAATTGAATTTCTAAACTGTATTACACATTATATAGAACGTTCTCCCGAAAAAAACAAAACACATCAAAACCCGGTAAAAATTGATCCAGATTTTTAGTTCTCACAACAAGTCTGTTTTAAGGGAAGACCATGTTAAATCAATCATCTTTAACTTCAAGTTTAAGATTATAAAACACATTTTGTAAGAGAACATTTCAGAATAGAAAGTTTGACTAAAAAGCTTGGAAATATCCCGCAGGGAAAAAAATTCTCAATCTGTGATCACTTGAAGATTATAATTAGCATGCAGTAACAAAAATATCCGACGCTATGGCAAGCGACCTTCCATTTATATACGGGCATGTTAGATTCACAACGTACCCATTAGATTTAGAAATACAACATTAGAATTTTGCCAATTACGTTCATTAACCCTCAACAGGGGGGGGGGGCGTTTGACCCAGTCTGTATAGGGTTTAAGGTTCCCTTTCAGTCCTTTTAAAGAAAAAAAATCATATGAATTATTTTTTATCCGTATAATATTTTCTCTGAAACATCTACTAACACTGTTGATGTATAAAGATATTATTATAAATGGGTTCATATTTCTCAAATGTCAAGATTCCAAGACTTCTCATATAAACCTAGTCTCACATCTTTTAGTTCCACCTTTACATGTTCTTCAGTGATTAATTTTAAGGATAATCTACCTCCTGTCATGTTGAACTAGTTTTTTACCGAGGAAGAATCAATTTATTTTTTGACCGGGTGCTTGAGCTAGTTCTTTTTTGATACGGGTTTATGTTAGATTTTGACCGGGATTTGTGTTAGATCTTGAGCGGGGGCTAGAGTTAGTTCTATTTTGACCGAGGTTTGTGTCAGATTTTGACCGGGGGTTGTGTTAGAATTTGACCAGGGTTTGTGTTTGATTTTGACCGGGTTTTGTGTTAAATTTTGAATGGGGGTTGTGTTAAATTTTTACCGGGGTTTGAGTTAGATTTGGACCGAGGGTTGTGTTAGATTTGGACCGGGGGTTGTATTTGATTTAGACCGGGGTTTGTGTTAAATTTTGAATGGGGGTTGTGTTAAATTTTAACCGGGGTTGTGTTAGATTAATTTTCCGGGGGTATGAGTAAGTTGTTAAATCTGTTAAATTTTAACTGGATGGGGTTTATTTAGATTAGGGTGAGGGTTAAATTTTTTTTTGAGCGGAAAGGGTCAGGTTTGAATTGTTTTAATTGACCTGGGTTTAACTGCTGGGGCTAAAATTGACCAGGTTTTTAAATTGCTGTGAATTAAATTGACCCGGGTTCTTAACTGTTATAACTTAAATTTACTAGGGATTTTAAACTGCTGTGGCTTTAATTGCCATGATTTTTTAACTGCTGTGGCTTTTAAATTGACTGGGGTTTTGAATTAAATTTAATTGACCGGGGTTTTGAATAAAGTTTTTGAGAAAAGTAAACATCATGCCTTGGCGCAGAGCTATAAAGTTAAAATGTTAAATATTCTTCCGCAGAGCAAGGTTTGGTGAAGAGGGGGGGTGGCGGCAGGGGGGGGGGGTGTAGCAAAAAGAATATCTATGTGGAGTAGGCAGAGGCTGAAGTTTTAGACTCTTTAATTATTAAGTTTTGGACTTTTCATTATTCATTTTGTTAATGGCAATATTTAGAAGGCATGTGCTTATCAATTCTGAAATTAGATAAAAACAAAATATAATTTTTATTTTTTCAACATTAAAAATTACAATTTTTTTTATGGAGGGGTATGTTTTACATGTATCTCCCATTGACAGACCCTTCAGGGTTTAGTTAAAAATCCAACAAGAGAGATAAACATATGTAGGGATGGGCATCAGTTTTTTGAAGGAATAACATTTTTGAGAACAAACTAAATTTTTCGTGAAAATAGATCGTTCAAAGAAAAAAATCAAAATTATAATTTTTTTAACAAACTTTAAAAAACAAAAAACGAACAATTTAAAATTATTCGTTTAAAATTATTCGAGTTTGATAAAAACGTTCTTTTTTTCTGAACAAATGAACGAACGATTTTTTGTACAAACTTTTGAAAAACTTATCGTTTTTTTAACTGAACGAACGAAACAGATGGAAAGAGAATGCAGACATAATTTCATCAAGTTAGGAAATTATGAAATGGCCATTAAATTTGATTAATTGATTTAATAATGTGCAGTGTACCTTACAATAATATAAACAATATATATTTATTTTCTAGAGCAAAAGTTTGTCTGCATCAATAAAGGCAGTACACAATACACACAGTGTATAAAATACATGTCCAACTTATGGCGGAATATCTATAAATCATATTGGATTGGAATTTTTCCTTTTCCTTGCAGTTGTACCATATATTCCTTTACTTATAGTAACACCATTTTCTTTTCCTTACAGTAGCATGTTATTCCTTTCCTTACAGTAGCATTTTATTCCTTTCCTTTCAGTAGCATTTTATTCCTTTCCTTACAGTAGCATTGTATTCCTTTCCTTACAGTAGCATTGTATTCATTTCCTTTCAGTAGCATTTTATTGCTTTCCTTACATTAGCATTTTATTCCTTTCCTTACAGCAGCATTTTATTCCTTTCCTTACAGTAGCAGTTGATTCCTTTCCTTACAGTAGCACCTAGTATTTCTCTTCTGACAGTAGCACCGTATACGTTGCTGGTGTACTTTTAGTATACTGCTAGTATACTGCTGGTATACTGCTGGTATGCTGCTGGTATTCTGCTGGTATACTGGTATGCTACTGGTATACTGGTATGCTACTGGTATACTGGTATACTGCTGGTATACTGGTTTACTGCTTGTGATCCAATAAATCATAAATATATTTTATCTTGAGGATATATCTGGATGAAGAAACGTCCCTGAGAAACTATTAAAGGATCTGCTATAAACACCAGAACATATTTATTCTTTACCACCTTTTCCTTTATTCTTTAACACCTTCCCCTTCATTCTTTACCCCCTTTCCCTTTATTCTTTACCACCTTTCCCTTTATTCTTTACCACCTTCCCCTCTATTCATTACCACCTTTCCCTTTATTCTTTACCACCTTCTCCTTTATTCTTTACCACCTTTTCTCTTTATTGTTTACCACCTTTCCCTTTATTCTTTACCACCTTTCCCTTTATTCTTTACCACCTTTCCCTTTATTCTTTACCACCTTTCCCTTTATTCTTTACCCCCTTCCCCTTTATTCTTTACCACCTTCCCCTTTATTCTTTACCACCTTCCCCTTTATTCTTTACCACCTTCCCATTTATTCTTTACCACCTTCCCCTTTATTCTTTACCACCTTCCCCTTTATTCTTTACCACCTTTCCCTTTATTCTTTACCACCTTTCCCTTTATTCTTTACCGCCTTCCCCTTTATTCTTTACCACCTTCTCCTTTATTCTTTACCTACCACCTTCTCTTGTCTGCTATTCTATTTCAGATTGTTGTCTGATCAGCCAGCGCCATTCCAAATTTCCTGTTAAAGATTATGAACATACTCTAAACTTTCTCCGAATGCACACAAAAAAGAAACTGAAAATTCATCACAAATCCCTTTATCTTGTAAACCATGGTGTATAAACTTTTAATAGTTCAAACTTTGATTATTCAATTAAATTTATATACATACATCTATATATAAAAGGTCTACGCCATTATGTTGTAAAGATAAAGTACCAGCTATGGTAAACCAGCTTTACCTAATTTTTTTTACTATAAAAGCCAATCATTTCAATTTCGAATTTTTAAACCAGACTAGGAACATAGAAGCGTTTATGCTTACCACGCTAATCAGCTGAATAAAGGCGAGGCCGAAAGCGACCTCCACCTTCTGTGTCATATTCTGTACAGGCCGGATCAGCTTGTTGTAGCCTCGGAAGAGGTCGCGAACCAGTCTCTCTTCATCACGTGACCCGGATCCTGAAACAGAAAACCGGTTCTTTAACATGTAAACAAACAATGTGAAGACATTTATGACAGGTTTCAAGTGCAACATCTATTACGTGACTATTTAGAAACTCATGCTGGAAGTGTTGCGTGTGTTTTTGTATCTCCATTGGAAAGTATTTTTTTTATTTTCAGCTCAGTAGAAGATAAAAAGACTGCAATAATACTTAAAATAGGTGATCCTGCAAAAGAAGAAAAAAGTTGAACAATTTATATTAACCCTTCACTCAAGTGTCATAAGGCAAACATATAGTTTAGATAAATACTGTTATAGGAGCTTTTGTGTTGAGTATCTTTCCTATCTTGAACACTTGATCTTGATATCCGATTCATATCTTGAACACTTGATCTTGATATCCGATTCGAACACTTTGAGAATCTATGCTGGATTCTTCAATTAAACTTATCCATGCTAGGTACGACCATGCGCTACGGGATATCGGAAAGGATTTTGACAAGGATTTGATGCAAGGAAAGTTATTTTAGAGGTGTACGCATCTTTTGTACTGCAGTGTACTGTCACTGGGCGGTAATGTAAACACACGACGGATGTCAAAGCCTGACATGGGATCCATCTTTCACATAATGTGAATTATCAAAATTATCAAAATTCAATGCTTTTAACCTCCTCGGATACTAAACGAACACTGAGGCATCTTTTCTTGTTTATAAATTCCGCCCAGAGAGAACTGGTTTTAATATGTAGGCAGAGTATACGCAACGCAACTGCAATTAACTTTCCTTGCATTACATTCTTGGATTTAGATTCAGCTCGATGCACAAGATGGAATTCAATGCTTGATCAAAAGTTTCCCAACACAAAAAATCTAGAACTTGTTGTTTTCTTTAAACAAAATTCCCAATTCTAAAACTATTTTCTTTAACGAGTGTGTTTTTTTTGAAGAAAAAAAGGTTTCAACATTTAGATACAACATATTTTACATATGAAATAGAGAATTAGTGTAAAGTAGAAGGTTTGGAGTAAATATAATAATGTTTCTTGTAAATATTTCATTAAAGTCATCGTGTTTGAACTTTTAGATAGGAATATCTATTTCTGTGCTGTAGAATATGGAAATTTAACTTGATATGACACTTTTCTAGTAAGGAGCGATTTGCTTGTCATTCAAAATCAGATTACACAATATTTGATAGAAGTCTCTTCAAATAAGTCGTTTTAAACATATCTTTTGAAAGGTTATTTTTGATAAGGCTACTTATGCCTTTTTTAATCTGGAAATTGATTTATTTCAATTGCAGTTGTATTTAAAGTGACTTTTGCGGATTTCAATGATGAATGAAAAGGTCGTTAAATGGTAAAACAGTTTTAAGAAACAAAACATAGATATCTTATTCATACTTGTTCAGACAACGCATCTTTGCATGTAGGGTCACTTATAAACTACGCAGCTGTCCCTTTAGAGAAGTTTTTAGTTTGATAAAATCCAGGAAAACCTCTTCCTTCTGCTCTAATAAATCTCCGGGAGTTTCAGGAAAATTTAACTTAACTTAAATGATGAATGTGAGAGTTAATGGCAATGAATTTGATTTAAAGATGGAAGGTTCAATTTCAAGTTGGGAGGTTTCTTTCAAATAAATGCATGGGTATAATTACCTGAGGAAAGAAATTGGATCAAATATTTTTAATGTTGGGGGGGAGCTGGAGTAAATTCCCTCATAAAGGGATTGTAGACATAATTTCACGTGACCAACCCAACAGAGATGTGGGAATTGATGAGACATGGTCATTAAAAATCATTAAAATTAAACTCTTTTTCAGCAAGAAAAACGAAGATATCTTAACCATTATTGATCAGATAAAGAGGTTAAAATGCACGTTACAAGTCCAGAGGCCGAATTTAAAGAATTCGAGCGGGGGTTTAAATTTAGGCCGCTGCTTAAATATGGTTGGTTCCACTTACAATTGTATAAAATGTTTTAAGATTTAGCCGGCGCTTAATTTAAACCGGGTTTTGGTAGATTTAAACCGCTGCTCAAATTCTTTAAATTCCATCTAAGGATGCACATTGCATATCTCAAAATGTAGCATGGGGGTTTTTAATTGCTATAGTAGTCGATTTTGCTGTGACAGAAAATGCTGGTGTGCAGTGGGGGGATGCAGTTCGAGGGGGGGGGGGAGGGGCGGGGGTACAATGCAAGTACAGGGTGTCCCACGAAACATGACAGTTTGTGAATAGTTTTGAATGTCTTCTTCCACATACTGTATTAGATATTATTGGCTTTTTGCAGTTCATTAAGTTTAAAAAATCTTTTACTTAAATATATTTTACTTTGAAATTACTTTTACTATAAGATGGCTGGCATGAACATTTTTATATTATTCTCTTGGGGTTTAAACAACTTAACAAACTATGGAAGAAGGCATTTTAAACTTTTCACCAACTGTCATGTTTCGTGGGACACCCTGTAGTTCCTGAAATAGTTTTTATTCTGTCCCGGAATCTGAAACCAATTTTTAAATAAATGGAAAGAACCAGTTCTTGCCCCTTCTCTCTCCCATCCATCCACTGTTGAAGAATGAGGATGGATTAATAGATGATTATACCAATCCATCCTGTTGATCTTTACACACAAGTTTCCATTCAGAAGTGTACAAGAAGGAGTAGATGAATAAAATATAGTAGAGAAGGGATGAGAGGAGGATGCGATTAAGTCTATGAAGTCTTAGGAGTATGGATGAGTATGGATGAGTATGGATGAGTATGGATGAATATGGATAAATATGGATGAGTATGGATGAGTATAAGACGAGTATGGATGAGTATGGATGAGTATAAGACGAGTATGGATAAGTATGGATGAGTATAAGACGAGTATGGATTAGTATGGATGAGTAGAAGACGAGTATGGATGAGTGTGGATGAGCATGGATGAGTACAGATGAGTATGAATGAGTATGGATAAGTACGGATGAGTATGGATGAGTATGGATGAGTATGGATAAGTATGGATGAGTATGGATGAGTATGGATGAGTAACGATGAGTATGGATGAATATGGATAAATATGGGTGAGTATGGATGAGTATGGATGAATATGGATGAATATGGATGAATATGAATGAATATAGGTGAATATGGATGAGTATGGATGAGTAAGGATGAGTATGGATGAATATGGATGAGTATGGATGAGTAAGGATGAGTATGGATGAGTATGGATGAGTATGGATGAGTATGGATGAGTATGGATGAGTATCGATGAGTATGGATGAGTATGGATGAGTAAGGATGAGTATGGATGAGTATGGATGAGTATGGATGAGATAAAAGGAGATTATGTTAGCATAGTTGTATTAAATTGAGAGAAGAAGTGAAGGCGAAAAATTGACCTAATCAAATATGATGTTACTTTAGCGAAATAAAGAAAATTTGGAAGAGAAACTTATTTATATAACTTTTAGATTAAAGCGAATGAAAACTGTTTAAAGGAGTAATTTAAAAAATATATATTTTATTTATTAATTTATACAGGAAAGAGATAGAATAAACAAGAAATTGATTAATGAATCAAATTAGTACTAACCTAGTTTCTGTCAACTTTTAAAGGATCCTCTAAACCCTTGGCTGAGTAACAATGATGAAGATATCGTTAAAGGGTTAAATTCTAATAATTTCCTTCATTGCCTGCCACTATTAAAAGTAACCAACTTTCAGCCAGACAAATATGAATATCACAATTTAGATTACAAGTTTAAATTCAGACATGCCACTCTATAGATAAAGAGTCAATTGAAACTTCGTCTACAATTTGAAAAAATGAGTAAATAGAGATTTCGAAATGTTTGGTGGGGGGGGGGGCACAGTTGGGTATTAGGGAGGGGGTCCACCAAAATGAATTTATTCAATTAACCTCTTATTTATGTCAAATTTAGATTTTTTTAGTGATAAGTCTCTAAGTTGTTTTAATGTTATGTTTTAGTTAAGAATTTCGACCGAAACCCCGTTTTCATTGAAAACTCTAAAAATAGGGGTTTTCAACACGCTGTTCTGATAAGTCAAGATTTTGGCGTGCTGTCGGCGCCCCTAAATCTTTTCTATATGGCTGTTAGAATCTATTTATATCCCGAAACTGCTGTGCTTTCTTGTACTTTTGCTGTAAAATATATATGTTTTTTTTTCTTTCGAAAAAGCTTGCTTTAACAAAGACGACATATAAATATATTGCGGGTTTACAGCTGATCCATACAAGGATAAATTTATGCATGAGAAAAGTAAATTTTAATTGAAATCATTATTAATCAATGCAAGCTACATTACAATTCATACAATGTTTGTAAATGAAAAGATTATCAGAATATATTCATTTTGTGCATTCTCATCATAAAACAAAAGACATGCATTTAGATAGGAGTTGCGTGGCAAAAACCAGTCACCCCCACCGGGGGGGGGGGGTGAAGTTGAAAGAGGATCATGGAGAGAGGGGGTGAGTTGAAGGATAAAGACAGTGGTAATAAAGAGCAGTCTAGCGTGAGTTTAACTTTTGATGGAAAATCATAAAAACCAATTATCTGGGGGAAAGACCAAGATATAATATATAATACTAGTCCTTGTTTTATGTTTATAATAAATAACCTATTACATTATAAACATATACTCTTAACTTTACACCCAGACATTTGGCACACTGCTAACGGATTATGAACATACATACAATGATTATGTCATCTGGGTTTGGTCTTTTATGTTGTTACAGTTAGGGCCACACAACTGTGAAATATGAAGACGAGTTTTAAACTTTTTTCTTTTGTTCCTCTTGTTATAAAGCAAACAATGTTACAAATAGCTTGAAAATAAAGTAAAGTAAAATGTACACTGCACACTGAACTATTTCTAAAAGTCATTTTGTGTCCATTCTATATCTTATTCTAAAATCTTCAACTGTCCATTCTATATCTTATTCTAAAATCTTAAACTGTCCATTCTATATCTTATTCTAAAATCTTAAACCGT